AAAAAAAAAAAAAAAAAAAGGACATGCTCCCACATGCACACACATATGTTCACAGTGTTGGGGTATGGGGTGGCCCCAACATCTTTTTTCCCTCTTGCAGTTTGATTTTCGGAAGCGTGGGGCATGTTTGGCCACCCCACCCTGTCAATAGGGGTTATTTTTTTTTTGTTTTGTTTTTCCTGTTTTTAGTGTTTGGCGCGTAGGGCCACGTGTCCGAGGCCCAACGCGCCAATTCCGTTTTTCGGAATTCAATGGGACACCCCCGTTTTTCCGTTAAACGGGATTCAACGGGGGTCCCCGGGCCCGTTAAACATGTTAAAAGGCGTTTAATTCCGCCCGTTCTCCGTTCATCGGACACACAGCAGTTGTGGTTAAGCACCCCAACATCTGATACCTTGAGACGGGCACCAACCACTGCCCTCATATACATATCGTCAAACAAAACTGCCCAGAAAATTGTAGGCAAAGAGGGAGAAGAGGACAACAAACAATAGGGAGACTTCGATGTCATAGCCCTTCGTTTGTTGTCCTCTTCTCCCTCTCTGCCTACGGTTTACCGCGCACTGCCAGCTTTATATGACGATATATATGTAATAATATAGTCACAAGTCTTTATAATCCACAAAAGAATTGAGAGCAAAGGGCAAACATACTACAAACGACATTACAGAGAACACAAAAACATTGTTGCACCACAACACAAAAGGCTCCACTGACGAGAAAGCACTGATGATGCCTGCAATTGGCCTGGGAAAAAAACTTGAGCCAGCCCACAAAGCCAATATAAATCAAACAAACACCACAGGAACCCTATGGAACACCAAGTGCCATGAACCTCCCTCTCAGCTGGACAATATACAAAATCAAATTTCTCATAGTGCTACAGTGAGGCCACTGGGCGAGCTCTGCCAAACACCGCAACATTTCCAAGTGAGACCAGGAGCGCCACTGCTTAAAACACCCTAGAAGCGCCACTGCTTAAAACACCCTAGAAGCGCCACTGCTTAAAACACCCTAGAAGCGCCACTGCTTAAAACACCCTAGAAGCGCCACTGCTTAAAACACCCTAGAAGCGCCACTGCTTAAAACACCCTAGAAGCGCCACTGCTTAAAACACCCTAGAAGCCCCTATTTCTTCCATGAGCTCCAAAAGAGCAGCCCATGGAAATGACACTCACAGGAAACGCTCTCTGAGGCTCTGAGCCTCCTCGCTAAGATGCCGTCCAAACATACATTCCTACCCCGAGAAAAACTTGTGGCCACCAACAGAGATTGTATGCGTCACCTATTCGATAAATGCAACTCCACAAGCACAGGGTGATTGTGGTAGACTGTTCCATCGGACTTTCATACCCGACTTCTCTGGAGGTTGAAGCTCGAACAGTCTGCCCAGGGTGCAGTTGGTTGGTAGATAAGGACTCACCACGTTCCCCAATGTTAGCTATACCCTTGAGCAAAGTGGTCGGCTTTACTCACACCACCCCTGCAATCCTACCGTCTTCACCCGAATAGAACGCCCAGCTAGGCTACCAGAGTGGCCCGGGACCACTTGCCCGGCCGGGCCAAAAAAGGATTATTAAAATAAATAAAAATAAAATTTTATTTTTCAATTTTTATTTTTATTTTTAAAATTTGGTAAAGATTTTCGATATGAGCCTGAGGCAAAAGTTGTTCTGTTTATTTTTCTGCATAACATGGTTTTTTTTTTCGGATTTTTTGGGATTGTTTTTGTTTTTCCTTTTTTTTTGCTGGGACCATCCGCACGGGCAACACAAGGTGACCCGGGCGCCCCGGCTGGTAGCCTAGACGCCCAGTCATTAGCGCTGCATCTGGACTGAAAGCTGGGCCAAATGCAGCGTTCTATTCGGGTGAAGACCGTAGCAGTGTCTAAACCAGAAACCAGACCCCTAACCATAACAGCAGTGATATGTGTGTGCACATATGACAACAACGAAGGCAGCGACTAACTACTTGCACTTCTCATTTTCTGAACACTCCTCTGCAGCTCTTTCTCAGTCTGTTGACCACGGTGACCATGGAAGAGCGCAAGCATTGTCGCCATCATTTTTTTTTTTGACTTGATACTGATAGTGATAATTCCATGGATGATCCACAATTCGCAATTCCTTGTTAAGCAACTATGTGATGGTTCTATCGTCTGAATCTGTCTTCTACTAGACTTCTAGTGTTTCTACAAGTCTCACGAACAGCGGCGGCAGTCTCCCATAGTGCCTTCTGGCTTTATGCTTTCAGAGACACTTTGCAAAATCAGCACTGAGACATTCTGTTGGAAACAAGTTAGAACCCCCAAATTGTGCCAATTATTTCATCATATGATTTGTATCACTTCTGGAAGGTTAGCAAGACTCTTCTGCAAAAGAGAGGGAGACCTCATTCCACACGATGAAAAAAAAAAAACTAAAGAGAGAAGCCTGGAGGGAGAGATGGAACACAATTATAGCATCATGTGAACAGTCTGCCACCTAAATCAACATGACTAGACAGCTGTGAATAGACATCAACGTGGCCATACACACTGACTGTGTACATTACCAGGTAAACACATGAATCTGGGCCTACGTATCCCTTCAGTTCATTGAACCGCCGCCTCAAGATTCTCAACATCAAAATTGATTTGTGGAATTGATTGAACCATGTGACAGTGCAAGATTTGAAGACCAGAGAGTCACAAATGTCGTGTTATTACATACAGACATGCGTTCTTTCAATATACACATCAGTGGACAATTAAAATTCAGACGCAGACGCAGACTGAATACAACGAGGGACAGCCGACTGGTTGACTTCAACTAGTAAACTATACACCAAGTTACCTATACCACTCAGAATATAAAGAGAAAAGAGAACAGAGCGGTCCATCCATCCCCCTATCCATGCATCCAGCCAGCCAGCCACCCACCCACCCATCCATCGATAACCTCCCTCGTCTTCCCCAAACACATTGTTCTACAGCAGGAATCCATCCATCCGTCGATCCATCCATCCATCTACGCACCTTATAGCCACCACTACTAGAAGACTTCACTGTTACATCCATTCTCTCTCAGAGAGAAGGACGACAACGAGAACTAAGGAGGAGGAGGAGGAGGAGGAGGAGGAGGAATGCACCCATCAATTACTATCCCTTTTGCAGGACATATTCACCCATCTGACCCCCCCTCTCGCGGAAGCAGGAATTGATCGACTCTGCCCTCTGCCTGACTACTTACCAAGAGTCATCCCTCTTCCTGACAGGATAAAGCTTTTTCCATATATCGATCCATAACCCCCATCCAAAATACATCCATCCATCCATCACCACTATCTCGGGAGAGGAAATCGATATGTTTAGTGATGCCCTCGTCTGCAGGTTGGTCGAAATCTCTGGCATCAGTAGTGCAACCAAACATGAACACATCTGAAACCTCTCGAAGAGGTATTTCCACGAGTCACCGAGAGGATTACAGATGCTTCCAAGTAAAAGACAACGAGTTTCAACACCATACCTCGAGGAAGATATCAAAACAGTACCAACCATAGACATCGCCTTGTTATATCCTTCACTATCATCCGTGGCGAGCTTCGCATCCTCCTCACGGCCTCAACCAATCATTATTGAGTGCCATATTGACAACAGGAACAGGACCTACAACCACCCTTCCTCCATAAATGGGACTGACAAGCACACCTTTCAGCAGATCCATCGGCGTTGGTCAAGCGCTACAGTCATTGTCGGCGACGTCAGTGCCCGTTGCAAAAAGTGAACGTCGCGATCGCTTCCATGGCTGTAGTCTGCAGTATGAAGACAAACTGAGACAGATGCAACAAATTTATGTCCCCCTTCCACCCTGTACTCAACACGTGAGAATCCAGAAGACACTACTCCACAGGATTGGAACGTGAATCCAGACTATCAGATAATCAGACTCCCAACACATGTTCCGTCTGCGTGCAGTGCAACACGAGTCCAGACTACCAGAGCCCCAACAAATGTCCCAATGCGTGCCGACAAACCGTGTCCATTCTCTCGGTTCAACACGCCACTGCCCACCCTACGAAAAAAGGGTGAATTCGCCAAGTCCTCGATCCTAAAGCCACAGATGCAGATAAGTTGAAGCCAGCACACTCCATCACAGCCAAGAAGAGGTACATATGCAGATGAATCCTCCCAATGGTGTCTCCTCTACTTGCCCATGAAGATTCGCAACAAGGCAACAACTTCTGATGCCACCTCAGCTCACAGTATCGTAGTATACCCCTTTTGTCAATCCCTAGTTCAACCTCAACCTCAAGCCATTATCCTCCAATTGTTCATATCAAGCAACTCCACAGAGAATGAAAAGGTTTCCCTTCCCTGGAGGTTGACGATGCCTATGAATGCAGAAGCGAATGTGGATCAGTGTCTGCCTCTTCCAACACTACGAACCTCTCTCTCTCTCTCTCTCTCTCTCTCTCTCTCTCTCTCTCTCTCTCTCTCTCTCTCTCTCTCTCTCTCTCTCTCTCCTTGTGTCTTCCCCAACTCCATTCCAAAAACATTTCCCGGTTCCAAGTTCGCAGGTTCTCCCACACAGAGTTGTTCACACTCCGCAGGCCAATGTCTCTTTGGCTCTCCTGATCAGGCTTCCCTTTACTCAGCAGGCTCAACCTCTGCTTCCCCCAGCCTATCTACCTTCATCCTACCATCCATGAAGGGAAATCAAACTTGACGTTTCGCTGACGTGTAATCAGAACACATTAAAAAGAATTGATACGATTTAATACAACTAAGTTGCTCTCCCTCTGCCTTGAAAAGTTATAGGCTGCACCTTCGGCTTCACATAGCACAAGGCCAGCCCAACTGCCAAGTCAATACCATTTCTCCACAAGACAAGATGCTATCCCACTCCACAAGTCTTGTACTTACTCGTGTGTTTTCCGCCTCCCTTCTCCTGAGTTCTCCACCCAACTCCCATCGGCCCCCCTTATCAAGAACTTGAGAACATCGCTCGGTCGTGTACATACACCATAGATCGAACTCGGCAATAACAGGTGGTAGGTGTCAAATAGAATGAGCACACAGACAATTGCATTTTCTTTACGATGACTGGAGCACTGCTTATCTGTGACAATGTCCATGAAGATGACGTAACGAACCCGCTTCTGCATGCGACTGAAAACACTCATACTGCAAACTTCCAGAATCGCAATCGCAGAAACAAAAAAAACAAAAACAAAAAAAAAAGCCATTGTGAATTATTCATTACCAACCTACTATTCATTCTGCCAATTCCATCTTCACAAGCGCCAATAGCTGCTGAGGGATATGGATCCTCGTGTCGAATGAAGAGTTCTCCACGAAGATGGCGTAACGACCTACCCTCTGCATGCACATCTGAAAATGTCCATACTGTAAACTCTCAGAACGGCGGCAAGGCTGGACACTCAGCATGAATAGCAGCAGCAGAGTGACGTAATTGTCTTTCGTTCCCTCCTTTATTCCGTATTCCCATGCGCCAATCTCACAGGCATGGGGCCTCACTCCACTACACAACACACACTCTCCAATGTCTCCACGCATTTGGAAGCTTTCTGGACCAGGTACGCTCAAAGTATTGGACTCATCCAAATGTACCTGGTCCAGCAAGCGTCCAAATGCGTGTAGAGTGCTGTGTAGTGGAGCGAGGGCCCACGGACCGGTCACGGGCCTTTTGAACAGTGCCATCACCCTCCGCACGCATGCATTTGGTTCTTCTCTGCTCACCGCGCTGCCAAGCCACAAACCCTTAAAACAATGTCTCCTGATCGAAGTCTTCACCAAATATAATAAGGCCATACTCGCACTAGCACTTTTCTAAACGTATCTGACTGCAATTGAGCCTAGAGCTGGATGCATCTGACAGTAATCACGTCCAGAGCGGAGTTGCAAAAATCCTAGTGTGAGTATGCCCTAAGACCAGGCAATAAACAAATCTCCTCTCTCTTTCCCGCCTTCCACCAACTTGTTGATATATTAAGACCAGGCAATAAACAAGCATGAGCCTAAGGCTTCTTTTGCCTTGACTCTGACCCCCTCCCTCCCCCCTCCCCCCCCCCCTTCCATCTATGCAGCTACTTGGCATCTTAATTTCCAAGCTTTACCCTGTCCAATATTTCATACCATCCAGAATTCCACTCCATTAGACACAACAGAATACTACCCCCTTGAGGGAGTTATCAGCTCCCCGGACTTCCGCTCTATTTGCCACACGTATACCCCCTTGAGAGGGGGAGGGGGGGGGGGGGGTGGTTCACCCATCCAATGTGTACTTAACAGAGGTACAACCAACCCCTTTGATCTGTTCTCCCACGAGACATTGCCAGACCGAAGTCTTGCGCTAGGACAAGTTCACCTCATTTCCCAACAGTCAAGCTACTTCATTCATGTCAAGCAAGCCCTGGAGGATTGAGTATACATAGAGAAATGTCGACCTGACCACTGAGAAGAGCAGGGTAAGGAGGAGACCTGACCACAGGGGCGAGCGGCTGGATGCAATTATACTAGCCTGCAACTGTTTTCACTTTTCGCCCAGCAAAAGACCGGAAAGAACAGTACTATCGCTGCAGGTTCCAGCATCGACCCCTGATGGCATGACGCGGGAAAAAAATGAAGACAAGAAGCAGCAAAGCTGAATGATAACACCTACGTTACCTCACCTTAAAAGAGAAAACGCCGCCAGAATGTTCACAGGCCAAACAAAGGAAGACCAATCTTCACAAAAGAGTAGACTAGAGCACCAGTAAAGACGTAGCTGTCGACTCTATCCAGAATACCGCCATGGCCTGGGATCAGAGTGCCAGAGTCCTTAACTCCGGCATCGCGCTTGATCATCGACTCCATAAGATCGCCAAACAGACTGGAGATGAAAGTTAAGGCTGCTAGCATAGCTGCGCCTGGTAGAGAGACGGGCCACTGGAGGAGCTTGGAGAGAAGAACAGCAACTCCAAGTGCAAACGCGAAGCCTGACAACGCGCCCTCCACCGTCTTCTTCGGACTGATTGCACTCAGAGGTGTTCGACCGAAAGATTTGCCTCCCATGAAGGCACCGGTGTCCGCCGCAACAACACACGACATGGCCACCATCGTCGCGAGGAGCCCTACTGTCCAATGAGCCCTGCCTCCAAAGAAAACTGGCCATTTCCCTGCTAGATGCGTTCCAACGGCTGGTACGTTCAGTCCACATCTCAGCTTGACCCAAAACGACGGCAAGTACCCGCAGTAGAAAAGCCCAAATATGACAGAGGAGAATTGCGCAAATCGCGGCCGCGAGGGCTGCAGCAGTAACACCGAGACTAGCACAAACGCCGCAGTCGTCAATGCTGCGCCCACTCGTCCATTATAATACATTGTAAGCAACGGCATCGCCGAACACATGAGCGTGCACACTTTCGTCACAATGGGCGGTGGTGGCTTCATGCCCCGTGCGATGCCTTTCTCCATGACAAGTCCAAAGTACTCCCTCGTCGCCAAGAACGTGACGATCGAAAGTCCGCCAGTGTAAACCCAACCCCCCATCAACAACGCCGACAGTGCCCCTGCCCCGAGAAGGCTGCCATAAATAACTCTGTTCACCAGGTTCGACGTTGCCAAGACTTCAGGCAAGCGTAGGAGAACCAACGCCGCTGCAGCCGACCTCGCATCTGCTGAGTCTGGCGGTGAGGGTGAGTTCTCTCCTAGTGCTGCCGCTGGACCTGGCGTATCGTCCTCCACATGACTGGGGTTCGTACCAGTGCTCGCAATACTGCAGGCGAATGCTGCCTCCGGACCTGGCGTATCCTCCTCCACGTGACTGGGGTTAGTACCAGTGCTTGCAATACGGCAGACGAACGAGCTATGTCGCTTGTTCTGCAGTTCCATTACGCTCTTTAGCCTATTTCTCTGCGGCATGACGCATTCCGCGCTCGACTGAGATCGTTGCTGGCGGCGACAGCCTTTTGCCAGGCAAGATGTGCAGGTCCAGAAATCGATTTGTGCCCCGGGATTAGCCAAACGGTGCCCGCGCATTGCCCGGGCTCTGGAACGCGATCGGCCATCTCCGAAGGAAACGCATCGAATTGGTCCAGCACCAGACGAGGGGTCCATACCACCTGCACAAGATGCAAGGACAGCAGCCTCGCACACGACGACATGGCACGTGGCGACACGAGGGACACTGGGATCATGTGCTGGGGAGGGGAGGGGCATCCCTCCAATGCCATCATGACTGCCACACCTGTTTCCAGATAGAGGATTACACGCCTGGTAGTAAAGGACGGTGGCGAACACAACCAGCAAAGCAACAGAGTGATCCGCTTGTCACAACCACTTGACCCCAGCAACAGAGATTAAACATGGCCTAGCTCAGTTCAGTGGGTACACCCATGAACTGTTGAAATACAGACCTGAGTTCGAATCCGGATGGAATCAGATGAGTAAAATTTAACTACAATTAGCAAAGCAACAGAGAGATTCGCTTGTCGCAACTCCTTGTCCCCAGAGGACAACAGAGATAACAACATGGCCTAGCTTAGTGGGTACACACATGAACTGCTGAAATACACAGCTGAGCTCGAATCCGGATGGAATCAGGTGAGCAACAATTAACTCTGACTTAAATATAAATATCAAAGATTAAACATGAAAGCAGAGAAACAGAGAATCGCTTAGCAAGCTCACATTGCATGCATCGAGCTGAAGCAGAGATTACACCATTATTACTTTCATATATAGAAGCCCTGGGGGTGAGTGAGGCATTCGTCAACCTGCTGAAGTTTAGGGGCCTCCTCTGCACCTTTTCATTTTTTTATTACAAGGCGGCGATGGCCTTTGATTTAATTCATCAAGTTCCATCTGGATTCAAACTCTGGTCTTCTATCCGCTCAACGAAGAACATTGCTGGACATGCACCGATCTATGCTTTCAAAAACATAAACAAGCAGAAGATAGGGGGAAAGGCGGGCTCAGGGGGGCAGGGGGGGGAGAAGGGAAAAAGAAGGGAAAAAAAGATAGGAGGAGAGTATAAAGCAGCAGGATCACGCACACATTGACATCCAGACACCTGGCAAATTTTGATGCAACATCACCATAGGGCATGTATTGCGATTTCAGAGATAAACACTGCACAACACCCATAAGACAGCGAAGCGGAGGAAGCAGCCATCAGGCTCTATCCTACCACCTGCTGCAGCAGCACCCGAGAAGTGGGAAGAAGTAGGGGACAGGTGTTGGGTGATATGATAATGCAGACACACACAAGTCCAGTAATAACTGTTGACGTCAGGGGGAAAAAAACAGCTTGTTTGTGTTCTGACATATAGCACTCAAAAAAAAAAAAAAAAAAAGGCATAAAGCACAACAACTAAGTCACCATACGCCACGAATAAGACTAGCTCAGTTGGCACACACCCACGAACTGTTCAAAAATATAGACCCAAGTTCGAATCCAGAAGTAATCAGCTGAACAGAGCAAAATAATTATCGGAAAAGAAGAAAAAAAAAACAGAACGCATAAGAAGCCATACAGAGTAGCATCGAGCAAGATACACACTGCCCCGATAAGTAAGCAAACCGGAGGGGCAAGACTGAAAATGCTCGAAAAGAGATGTATACAACACAGGGGCAAAACTGAAACTGTATACAACACAGGGGCAAAACTGAAAATGTATACAACACAGGGGCAAAACCGAAAACGTATACNAACTGAAAATGTGTACAACACAGGCGCAAAACTGAAAATGTATACAACACAGGGGCAAAACTGAAACTGTATACAACACAGGGGCAAAACTGAAACTGTATACAACACAGGGGCAAAACTGAAACTGTATACAACACAGGCGCAGAACTGAAAATGTATACAACACAGGGGCAAAACCGAAAATGTATACAACACGGGCAAAACTGAAAACGTACACAACACAGGGGCACAACTGAAAATGTATAGAGCAGAGATCTTTACCAGCAATATCTCGGATGGAAGTCTGCCGGCAATACACGTAGCCAGCACCTTCGACATGCCGCCCACTCTTTCTTTCAACAACTAGGAGGATCTCACGACAGGTACAGTGATGCGAGGAGGGACCAGAAGCAGGTCTTCCTTGTCAGACAGATTGTCCCGGACCTTCGCCCCCTCCACTAACCTCAACAAAAACTCCCCTCCCCCGCCTGCACAACACCCAGCTGTTATATCCCTCTCTCTCACACAATCCCACTCCACCCCCACTCCTGCCGGATCATCATCATCTTCTCTGAAACAAGCAGGTCTTCCCTTTCGCAGAGATTGCCCCAGACATTCGCCCCCTCCACTCACCTCAGCGAAACTCCCCTCTGCCCCCTGCACTGTAACAGCCAGCTGTTATATCCCTCTCTCTCACACGAGCCCACTCCACTCCAACCCCTGCGGCATCATTTTCTGAAGCGTTGTCTGCATCGTCGTCTGTAGCGCTGTCTGCAGCGCGTTCTGCACAGCCGTTTGATGTTGAGATCAACGACTGTTGTAAATAGCGCAGCAGATTGATTGACTGATTTGATGTCATTAGAGCTCCGATCTCAGACCTGCTCACATGGTGCATCAAGAAGGCGACAACGAGAATGTGAGTTTGAGGGCATACTCGCACGAGAACCTTTCCTGCTCAGCTCTGGACGTAATTGGTCTGATGCACCCACGGCAGGCCGTAATTGCAGTCAGATGCATTCCGAACCTTTTCTGCTCAGCTCTGGACGTAATTGCGGTCTGATGCACCCACGGCAGACCGTAAATGCAGTCAGAGTCAGATGCATTCGGAACCTTTTCTGCTCAGCTCTGGACGTAATTGCGGTCTGATGCACCCACGGAAGGCCGTAATTGCAGTCAGATGCATTCGGAACCTTTTCTGCTCAGCTCTGGACGTAATTGCCGTCTGATGCACCCACGGCAGGCCGTAATTGCGGTCTGATGCACCCACGGCAGGCCGTAATTGCAGTCAGATGCA